GGAAAGAGGCATACTGTAGGATTCAGTCCTGTGAAGCAAGAAGCTCTTGATCTTTCTTCAGTTAATAAAGCATCAATTTCATCCAAGGTGTTTGGAAGATCTTGGAAAGCCTAAAGAAGAAAAAAATTGTCCATTATTATAGACAGTACAGTGAAAATAGTTCAAATAGTTTAAATAAAAATATTCTGCTGAGTTAGTAAGTATCTACTATGTGTTGAACAGCATGCTAGCACACAATAAGGAATCAAAGGAATTATAAACATGGCTTTTTGCTTTCAAAAAGCTTATACTTTAAAAGAAAACAAAATGTATATACTTAATAACACGGGCTAACACCTTAAGGCAATGTATTGATGCTGAGTATTAAAACAAGCGGTACGTATCATACAGGTTATGGAATTCAGAGAAAGGAAGTATCAGTTCATGCTACAGGAGCTACAAGAGAGTAAGAGAAATCAGGCCCAGATTCCATCTCTGGGCCTTAAAGCAAATGGCTAGGGAAAAGTAAGGCAGAGGGGAGACAGGAGCTTGGAAAAAAGAATGAGCACTGCATACCATGGGGGGTGAGGAGTTGTGTCCATTTGGAATGGTGGGTACTTGCTGAATTGGTAGAATGGGTCCAGAATATGTGGGGCATTGAAAGAGAGCAAGAAGTTAGAACTTTATACTGTACTTGTGAAGAACTGCAAAAGCATCCTAAGAATCCAATTACTTTGACAGTAGAATTTCACCACAGTACTATCTTCTGAGACCATGCCACAGAGACAAATTAGAAGAGATACTTTATTGTGGGGCGAGGCAAAGCAGTACATTGTTTTTTCACCACAACCTGCAAAAGTTTATGTACTACAACGTACAAAATGAATATTGAAACCTTGAAAAAGATCCTAACACACTGCATTAATCTAATATCTTAACCTGTCTTTTTTCCCCTAACCTTTTGGAAAGCAGTTCAACTTCAAAGGCCTTCAGATATTTGTTAAGTATATTTTTCTGAATCTGACCTGTCCATTGAGATTTGAACTCATGTGCCAAACACTTGGTATCTTCATCTGACTCTTTAATAGACAAATTTAAGATGGTGAAACACAAATCTTCAACTTCCTCACCTTCCCCACCAATTTGAGCAAACTGATTTGTCCTTCAATCTTTTCCATCTCAGTAAATGAACAAATTTAGGGGTTCTCTCTCTCACCCTTCAACTCAAATCCATTACCAAGCCCTGCTGGTTATGTCATTAAAAGATACCTCAAGTCTGTAAACTGCTCTGTGTCTAATGCTTCCACCCTAATCCATGCCATGAAAATCTCTCACCTGGTCCAAAGCAATAATTTTCTAAATGGTCTTTGTGCTTCCTTTATTTTCCATACAGCAGTTGAGGTGCTCTTTTACAAACTGAAGTTGTCCTGCCTCTATAACTCTTCTGTTTAAAATTCTCCAGTGGGTTCCATCTCAAAATAGAGCCCAAATTCCTTCTATGGTCTATAAGGCCCTACAGGATCTGGCTTCTGCCCTCCTTTCTGCTTGGATTATAAATTGTAGCCCCACTGAGATTTTTTTCTATTCTGAAACAGGCCAAGTATACTTCTGCCTCAGGAGCTTTGTATGAGCTGTTTCCTCTGCCTGGAATGCTTTTCCCTCAAACCTTCACTTGACTGATTTCTTCTCAGTATCTTCTCAAAGGAGGCTACCCTGACACTCTAGCCCCTTACCTTGTTTTATTCTTCTTCTTAGTACCTCTTGCTATCCCCGACATAATCTGTTTGCTTTTTGATTTGTCTTCCCCACCCTCCAGACTAGAATATAAATTTCAAGAGAGAAGGAAGTATGTGTGTTTTGTTCAGTGCATGTGATATATAGAAGGTAATCAATACATTTTTAATGAACACATGAACTATGTTCTAATCTTGTTTCTTTCAAAAACAGTACCATGTATCAAGGACAGAATCATGTTACTTTCTGAAAGAAAAAATTAGTACAGATATTGTGCTAATATTTACTTATTTTATAAACAATGTATTCTGGAGGTTTTATTTTTAGAAACAACAGCCCCTCAATTGTCTTACAAATATCTACTAAATTCCTACTATGTATCCAAACAGATCGATTCTCCCTAGTTTCTGGGTCTGATAGCATAAAGCACAATCTTTGAGGATATGAAAATTATAATCCAAATAAGTTTTATTTCCAGTTCTATTTATATCTTTAGCAGACATTCATAATCTACTGAAATAAACATTTGAAATTTAAAAAGCCACACAAATACCAGATACTTAAAATTTTATTTCTAATTTTACTTTGACATTATTCTGAGAGAGTAAGTATGTAGGCAAGGTATTATTCCTACCTGTCAGATAAAGCTTTGGGTCACAGGGCTACCTAATTAATGGTGAAACTTGGAAGAAAGGGCAGCATCTTCTCATTTTACCAACTGAATGATATGTCAGAATATAAAATACACATAATGTAAAGAAAGAAAGGCTCTTTTTTTCCTTTCCTTAGCAACAGATGTCAGCCATAAAGATTCAGCTCCCACTCAACCATAAATAAACACCCTAATTTCCAGGAAAACATTTTCATTTTGCCTTCGTTTGTCTAAATATCACCTCTCTTTACTGTTCCTTATATATCAATTACTGGTACTATGTTTCCATGAAAAGCTATAACCCATCTCCTGACCCTACCTATTAAAAGGGTGCTTGGGGAAAAAAGCTTTTTACTGGAAGAATGAATGTTATGGCATTAATAATTTTGCAAAATAATACCCATGTTTTAACAACTTTAGTATAAGCAATAAGACTGACTAGTGTCCAAGTCTGAGTATAGTGAAGAAAATTCGTTGAGCAAAATTACTTTACATACATACTCAGTTTAAAAATGGTGGCAGGGGGGTGGGGGGATCTCATATTTTATGGCACATTGTGTTTTTCATGGCCCAGTACAATGCCTAACACACTTTAAGCTTAAAAATAGCTGTCTTAAATATGTTAGCTTGTAGCGTTATATACTTTTTATACTTACTGTCTGATATTCTTGAGGAATGGTCTGCTCTGCACCCAGGTTACATACTTGCCTGGCTCTCTTCATAAGTTCCCTGCATTTCTGCAATAATCTCTGTCTACTTTCATCCAACTCGATGAAATGTTGCTAATACAAGAAAAAGAAATATTTTGAAAATTTGTATGTTACTGTTAAATCAGAGGGCTATTTTATTAAACCACCACATTATATCAAATATATTATTGAATTTTGATTGTGATAAGCAAATCATCCGAAAACATATCTCAAACCATGACTGATTTTATTGTAAAGGTTAAATTTGAACTTAAACTTCAAAATATATCGGGACATTAATAATATGGCATTTCTTGAATCTGTAAGAGCTCTGAAATTTAAATTTAACTGCCTTTTTCTGAAAGTTTAATTTAGCTATGTATAATTATACGCTAATAAAATTTGATATATACAGTATGTAGGCTTCATATCCAAATACTCAGCATTCAAATGTAAGCAGAACCTTTAAATAATGTTTGATAGTTTTCCAAGCACCTTTCATGTAGCTATCATTTATTCATGGACCCATTCGTTCCTTCACCAAATAATTACTGACAACCTATCAAATGTCAGTATTTTATTATGCACTGAGCATAGAAAGGTGAATAAGAAGGAAGATACACAAAGTCATTAATTACCATACAAGAAACAGCTACTGTTTACTGAAAGCTTATGTGCTAGGTGCTTCACACACACATTCCCTTATTTCTCACAGCACTGTACAGTATTATTATCCCCATTTTGCACATTAAAAAAGAAAGAGGAATTACACAAAGAGACTATGTGTGTGGTGTGGGCAAGGGATGGAGGAAGGTCAGAGCGGCCACAGAAGCTATGACAAGTGAATGATCTTAAAGGACAAATAAGAAATTACTAAGAGGGAGCAGCAGAAGGCATTCCCAGGATAGGTGATTTAAAACGTACAGGCCATGGAAGCCTCCAGGGCCTGCTTATTTAGGGAACAAGAAATTCAACGTGGCTGAAGAAGAGGTAAGCATGTAAAAAAGACGAGAGTGGCAAGGTGGGCAAGAGCCAGGTAGCAAAAGTTCCATGTGTAACAAGAAGGGCATCGTGGAGGACATGGAAGCAACCTAAGTGTCCCTCATCGGATGAATGGATAAAGAAGATGTGGCACATATATACAATGGAATATTAGCCATAAAAAGAAACGAAATTGAGTTATTTGTAGTGAGCTGGATGGACCTAGAGTCTGTCATACAGAGTGAAGTAATAAGTCAGAAAGAGAAAAACAAATACCGTATGCTAACACATATATACAGAATCTAAAAAAAAAAATGGTCATGAAGAACCTAGGGGCAGGACAGGAATAAAGACACAGATGTAGAGAATGGACTTGAGGACACAGGGAGGGGGAAGGGTAAGCTGGGACGACGTGAGAGAGTGGCATGGACATATATACACTACCAAATGTAAAACAGCTAGTGGGAAGCAGCCGCATAGCACAGGGAGATCAGCTCAGTGCTTTGTGCCCACCTAGAGGGGTGGGATAGGGAGGGTGGGAGGGAGGGAGACGCAAGAGGGAGGAGATATGGGGACGTATGTATATGTATAGCTGATTCACTTTGTTATAAAGCAGAAACTAACACACCAATGTAAAGCAATTATACTCCAATAAAGATGTTAAAAAAAAAATAAAAACAAAGGGCATCATGGGATGCCTTTTGTGTTGTGTGCCAATCATGGTTATCACCCCCATCCTATATGGTAATTAATATAATCCTCATTACCATCTTAAAGAAATGTATTATCTCCTTTTTTATATGTGGTTCAGAGATATTAAGTTGGAAATAGCAAATGATTAGGTTCCTGAAAAAGAAAACAGGTCTTAGCTTGCTCTTTCCATCAAACTTTGGTCTGCACTAAAAGTACCAGAGCAGGGGTGAGATAGAGGGAAGATTTGTTAAACAGTATTGATATCCCAGCCACAAGCCAGATCTAACAATTAAGACCTCTTGGGGCCAAGGCTTGGACATTGGTATTATTAATAATGTCCTGAGGTAATTTTTATGCACACAAGTTTGACAGCAAAGGAAGTAAACTAAGACAAAAGTTAGTAAAAGTATATATATATACTGGACTGATCTGAAAATGCAAGCAAGCCTTTATACCGATCCGTTAGTATCAATATAAAGTTTCCTTGAATGGATTCCTTGGCCCCTACCCAGCAAGAGAAATCAAAGAAAATTAAAGACTCCCAGTCACCCTTACTCTGCTCTCTAGAGCCTATTATACTCAGGCAAATGCAAAACATGGGACAGGTAGACAGAACTAAACACTCCTAAAGTCTTCTCTTCCTGCTTCCTATTCCTCTGGATCTTGCTAAAATGAAATATTAGAACATTATGGGAAAGAAATATTCCCAAGCTGAATATCTGGGGCTCTGGGCTTAGGACAAAAGCTCATTCAATAGTTTCCTTCTGTTTGGTGGCATATGTCTAATAAAATCTTTATCAGAGGGCTTCCCTGGTAGTGCAGTGGTTAAGAATCTGCCTGCAAATGCAGGGGACGCGGGTTTGAGCCCTGGTCCGGGAAGATCCCACATGCCGCAGAGCAACTAAGCCCATGCGCCACATCTACTAAACCTGCGCTCTAGAGCCTGCGAGCCACAACTGCTGAGCCTGCGAGCCACAACTACTGAAGCCCTTGTGCCTAGAGCCCGTGCTTTGCAACAAGAGAAGCCACCGCAGTGAGAAGCCTGTGGACCACAACGAAGAGTAGCCCCTGCTCGCCGCAATGAGAGAGAAGCCTGTGCGCAGCAATGAAGACCCAACGCAGCCAAAAAAAAAAAAAAAAAAAAAAGACAATGTTGTTTCTATACATACATGTTTGTGACACTATTCACATAGCACCTGTTCTTGCCCCACCCCATAATTCTTACTGAGTTTTTCTGCGGGGGTGGGGTGCAGAAAGAGTCCAATTATATAAGATAACACTGTAAATTCAGGCTAGTGAAAAGGGCTTATTTACATTTCTTCATAGAATCTAGCCTTTACCAGTTAAAAGGCCACAGAAACAGTTCATCTGTGTAAAACATAAGGGGAGAAAATGGCAAACTTACAAAATATCCCCCACCAACATCTCAGAAAAGATTACTCTGTAGGTACATACCCTGAAAGAGATGAATAAGTATTATCTTTTCTCTGAAAGTCTTTTGATAAAGTTCAACTGTACAGAAATACCTTGACACTACACAAGAAAAACCTTCTCTAAGAGGGCCCTCTAGTGGAAAAAATCAGATTGTTCACAGAATTTCTTACTGAATATATGTTGCACATCAACTTAACACAGTAAATATTCTAGTTAATTAAAATAAGAGTGAAACAAAATGAAACCCATTTTGGTGTGAAAGGAATTAAACTACGTTCTAGGTAGCATAAACTTATACTTAAAAACTGGTTGTAGATCAAAACATTTCTTCCTCAATTTTCCTTTCATATAAAGAAAAGAGTCAAACTTCATTCCAATTTAATTGATTTCAAATTCAAATGTTAACCATAAGTTTTCGTTCATATTGGACTGCATATATATTTTAGAAATATGAAAAGTAATCTTTTTTTTAAGCAGCTTAAAATTTTAACGTCAAGTTTGAAGTTTAGAAATCAGTGGTCTTCACTGGCGTTTTAATATACAAGCTTACAAATTCTATTTCAATCAATCTAACAGTAAACAGTGAAGCGGTGACAATAATACTATTTACTTGGGAAAGGATTTTTTCCTGCCAAATACATATATCACATTTAAATTGGGGAAAAAAAAAGTCCTCTGAAGTTGTTTTTTGTGGGAGAGTAGTAAGCAGGCAGGCAGAGGAAAGAACATTAGATGAAAGCACAGAATTTCTAAATTTAGCATTAGGACAAATAAATTTAACAACTTCCAATTCTTGTAATATTAAACCAGATGTAAATCTATACTTCTTAAGGAAATATGGGCTTCATGCTAGGCACACACTAAGCATCATGATGTATATTACTGAATTTACTATCACAAATATCCCTGCAAGTTAGGTACCATAATACCTATGGCTGAAGACAACAGGCTTGGAGTGGTTAGGAACGCTGCCCAAAGTAAAAAACCAAGTAACATGTACATCCATCTGTCCCCTCCATATCTGGATTCAGTCAGCTTATTAACTTGTCATAAAAATATTCCAGAAGGTAATGACATACCTCTGGAGATGTTTCATGGGTCTGGAACCCTTTTTCCCCTATTTGCCTTCCAATAATTTGAGGAAGTTTCAAACTCAGTGGTGGTTAGTTATCCCTAAGTTCCTTCACGAATACAAGCCCTACTGAATTTTTGTGTCAGTCTTCTTTTGTGAACTTGTTTTCATGATCAGGGTAAAAGACAAACCCTCAAGTGGCAGTAATGGTTCCTTAGTACAACCTGCAGTGTGTCCAAAGGAGGAGGGGAGGGAGGGAGGAAAGGAAGGAAGGAAATGATTTCTTTTTGTTTCAAATGCAGTAGGACAGCAGAAGAATAGGTAAGAGCAAATATGGGTAAGTGACAGCAAACATGAGAAGGAAAAAGAGCAAATGAAAGAGAAAATGAACTACCAAACACTTATTCTCTGTATCTTTTACTCATCATTCTTGACTGTTTAAAATGTGTGATTGGTGACTATGATCAGTCAGTAACAAAACTTAGCAAAACATAGTGTAAGAAATAAAAGAACCTTACAAAAGGGTTGGTAAGACAATTATGAATAAAAAGCATTTAATAACTTTCAGATCAACATATAAAAAAGGGAAACCATGCTGCAAAATATTGTTGAGGAAACACAAAATAAAGCCAGGGGTAGTATCAAGTAAGATTAGTATGGAAAAACCTGACATGATGTGTGTGTGAGTATGGTAAGAGGCTGAGAACTGAGTGGGTATTACTTCCAGGTAACAAAATCTAGAGTGACACGCAGCTAATCAGATTATTTCTCTACACAGTATAATGTGGCCATCTTTGTAAAAAATTAGTGACTCAGAGATTGAAAACAAAATCTCCTCACAAGTACTTTCCTACTCTCCAGAGTAGTCAGCTCAACTCAAAATATTACTATTTCTGCTACTACTAACAAAATG